TGACCCAGCACCAGGCACTACTTGCTCACACTGGATGAGTAATTCCTCTCCAGAAAGTGCCGTTGGATACTATTTTGCCATCGAAGATGCTTCCTTGTGCGTCTGAGGTGGATCTTTTATTCTAAGCCATAACCTGTTAGCTTATGTTTAGTTTATGTTACCTTTGTCCAATAAGTATTTGTTTGCAGATCCAGACCTAGCATTTAAAACCAAAATCTCATCAGATCAAAAATGGTTATTGATTGAGGTCTATTGGTCTTCTTCACAAACTGAGCAGTCAGGCCCTGTAGAAACTGGTCAGGACAATTGCTGGTGGTCTTAAAAAGTTCAGATCCACATCCACAGATGGGGAGAGATTTAGCTACTCTCATAACTGAACTTTCCTAAATATTCCCCATTGTAAATGGATCATTAAGATTCTTGTTATCTTCTAGATTCCGGGCTGGTAAGGAAGTCCTGAGCTGTACATGACATGTCTAAAATAGACATTTGAGGTAGGGCACGGTGGCTCGTGCCTGTAATCTCAGTACTTTGGGGGCCGAGGTGAGCAGATCACTTGAGGTTGGGAGTTTATGACCAGCCTGGGCAACAGAGCAAGACCCTATCTTTACAAAAGCCAACAGAAAATTAGCTAGCTGTGGTGGCATGCCTATAATCCCAGCTATTCAGGAAGTTAAGACAGGAGAATCACTTGAGCCTGGGAGTTCAAGACAGATTGGAACAATATGGGTTCTCCAAGGTTACCATGATAATGTACCTATGATTGAGCCATTGTACTTCAGCCTGGGCAACAGGGCAATACCCTGTCTCTAAAAAGTAAATAAAATAAAATATAAAATAGAATGGACATTTGCATTACTTTGCAGCCCCTTGGCTTGCCCCAATCATATGGCTTCAGTTAAGTTTGGCTTAGAGTTCCTGACCAGTGGGACTTGTGATTTCTGCCTGTAATCAGACTTTCCTAAGACTATCATGATACCGCCTATCCAGTCAGACTCTAGTGATCTTGCAAAACTGTGATGGTTTATCCACTCCAGTCCCCAGACTAAACCTCTCCCTTGGCCAGTGGAGGATCCCTCCAACATCCACTCCACCACATATCCAGGAGGACCTCTGTGGGTCCATCTCTGCTTGCCCTGAAGGAGCAGAAGCTGAGATATACAAGCCTCTGCCCTTTCCACCACCACCTTCGTCTTAGTGGGAACTGAAGTGGGAGACCAAGATTGCATCCTGGGCAAGTCACTTTTACTTGCTGTGGGATGCCAGGCATATGACTTAAGGAAAGAGTTTCAGAGAGATTATCTGAAGAGACTCAGGTAGCGAGAACAAGGGGTTGTTGAAGGATTAGGTGGGATTACATAGGCCACAGAATACTTTATATTGGTTACATCCTAATTTACAGATATCATATGGCACTTACCCTTTTATAGTGCTTACCATGGGTCAGATTACTTGGCCCTTCCATGTATCATCTCCTTAGATATCAGGATAACTTCATGAATCGGGCACTAGCTCTGGCCCCTCAAAGGCTCTGGATTTTTAATTGTAAATGCAAAATTGCTACATTGTCCATGACTATTTAGTTATTTAGTGTCTGAGCTGAGTTAACACAGGGCTATCAGAGTATGAATCTCACATGGTAGATATGTAGGTGTTATGGAACCCAACAGAGATAACTTTGGATGGGGGTCTTTTTGGGCATTCTTCAAATCATGCCCTGTGAACAACCATTACTCTGCCTCCAATGAGGTCACACCCTGCTCTCTATCTTAGCATATTTTTGATGATATCTCTAATAATTGAGGATGCAATAAATACTAGTTCTCTTCTTCCTGCAATAATATCCTTCCCCAAACTATGGCCCTAGAATCTTCAAAATTCTCGAAAATATTTCTGGTAAATAAATGTTTCCCATTCACCATCCATCCCTCATGCTCTTGCAGGGCCCTCCCCAGACACAGGCTGGCAGAAGCAATACTGACTGCTGAGTTAGAGGCAGCTTCTCCCCATCTATCAATTCTAACTGCATTCAAACATTTTCAATATGTGGGCTCCTTGATAACCTTCACTGTATGGAAAACAAAATGGAGGGAAATGATTATTGGCACAAAAAGGGGAGACCATAAATCTTCAAATCAGATATAGGACAGATTGGAACAATATGGGTTCTCCAAGGTTGCCATGATAATGTACCTAATAACTCTCCTTGGGCAAAAAGGCAATCTGCTTTCAATCAATCTCGCTTTTTTCTGAGCAAAAATACCAATTACGTTGAAGGAAGATTTTTTTCTTCCTTTTTTGATAAAGACAGCTCTCCACCCCAGAAATCACGCTGTGGCTAAAAGATATATATTTTCAATTGTCTACAATGGTATTGGATAGCTAGCACCAAATGAAAAAAGTCAATCCTTTTTTTCTCCTTGCTCTTGCCAACATTTGTCTACTTCTTAAGAGCAGTGAAAGTTAATTAAAGGCTTAAGGGATAATATTGATTGCATTGGAATATATTTTATATGTACCCAGCACATTTTCAAGGAAGAGAACCCTGACTTTTTCTAAGGCTGAATAAATCAGCCAGCTGAGCTTTTGATTCAAGGGTGAGAGGGGGGAACTCATCTTTTCCCCTTGCGCTTCTCACACATCTTTCCCAGGGATGAATGATTTCAGGAGAGGAGGAGGGATGCTGGCTGATGTTCATTCAGTTCTTTGCATCCTGGGTAGGAAGAATGAATGTTCAGGCATTTCCCCAGACCTATCATTGATTTGAGTCTAGCTTTGAGTAATAACCAGGCTTATGCTGGTACAGAACTTCGAACTTTACAATGCCTGGCACAGGAGGCTGTCTAGGTGGTATTAACCTCTCAGTTTCCTCCTGCATTGAATGGGAATAAGTACCTTGCCCACACTCTTGGTCGCAGAGCAGGAAATCACATCTGGCTTACTTTCACATCCAAGTGATGAGAACAACCTCAACCACCTATCTGTCCTGTGGAGATACCCACGCATTGGATTCACGTTGGCTTTGCTCCTAATCTTGGAAGTCTATGCACAGAAGACGTTAGAATGGCAAAGTAGCCCTACTGTCAGTTGCAAGGAAGTTAGGTCAGTAGGGGAATTCTGTTTCTCATTCACTTCAAACATATTTGGCAAATTCAGAGTCTGAAATCTTATTCCGAACATGCAAATTTGTTTGAAGTATTTTGTCCATGTAAATGTACATGTGCCACAAGAAACATTTAAAAATATATGATAAAATGCATATCATCCAAGTGTTCAATCTATATTGTGTATTCTGATATACTGTGTGTTACACTATGTTAGCCTCATACTACTCACCATATACTAATGAGGGGGTTAGTCATATGGGCTTTGGGCATAACATTTGGATGGGTGGCTAAGGGACCTTCATCAACCTAGCAGGAGAGCAAAGTGATCATGTTAAGCTGTCTCTTCTGAAGTAGCTCATTGACACTCTTCCCTCCTCTTGGTGGCTGCTGCGTGCCTGATTGCTAAGCACGCCACCGTAACAATAACAGTCTATAATGGTGATAATTATTAACTGCATCGTGCATATTATTGATTTACTCTTTGTTCTGCATCATTATCCTTTCACCAATGAGTTTACTGCATTATTCTCACATACTTAGTCAAGCACCAAATTACAACGAAAGGGCAGGCTCTTATAATGGCATCTAATGGAACATTGCATAAGCCATCATCACTGCCTCCTATTATGAGCCACCTCCAGCCAATGAGCTTTCTGCCTTATTGGAATGGGCACAGAGCAATTATGAAGTGCAAGGGACATGGCCATTCTAAATTTTACCCAGGAAATTACCATGCTGCATGTTCACCACCTGCCCAAGTCTCAGTGTGCAGCTAGAGATTCAGCTTCTGTCACTATCAGCCTGGGGGGCACAGGGACAGGAGTCGAGCCTCTTGCTACATACAGTCTCTTCACTAGAAGCCAGTGGTTTTTATCTCCACAGTCAGTCCCCGGGTTTTTGTCTTGCGGCTGACTCCTGCATCAAATGCTTACTCCTGACTGGGCATTATGTGGCACATATAAGTGGCCAACAAAGTCACATTGGTCCAGGAGCCCAGAGCGGTTGGAGGGACTGTCAGTCTCAACAATTGTGGAAGAGGGTCTCATGTCTTCCTTGTGAGCCACTACTTCCGGAAACGGAAGTCCAAACCACCCTCAAACAAGGCGAGCAATTCCAGCCTCATCCCTTCCCGGCATCTCCCCATCTTGAGGTAAATTCCTTTGGCTCTCCTGGAAATCCCAGGCACCCTAAGGAAGCAGCCCTCTGGGGACTCACAGCCAGCCGGCATGATCTTCCGTTCTATAGGCATCCCAGCCCCATTTAGCCCTGAGTAATGCTCACTTACTGTAAAGTGTTACATGCCCCCATTGTCGGAGGAGTTATAGTGGAAAAATGCAAAATTTCCTTTTTACTGCTTATGGCCAGCAGAGCCTATAACGTGTCAGGCCGCACATTAGCCACCCTGATAAAAGTCTGCTTTCTTACACACAAAATCATCATTTCAGCAAGATTTGTTATCTCATTACCTGATAAGCTCTATGTCATAAACCAAGACTCATATAGTAAATCTCCCCGGAGGACGCTTTGTGGGCAGAAAGGGAGAGATATGAATCTGCAAGGGACTTGATAATGCAGCATTTAAGCGCAAGCATAATGTCACTTATTGTTAAATGCATAAAACCACTTGGCCAAACGGTTGGGCTTTTAATAGGATTTTGTGCAGCATCAGGTGAGGAGCCATATGCCTTTTCTGTCTAGGAGTCTCTGAGCACCTGCTAGCACCGCTGCTTTGCCTCACTGCCCTCCGGGGATGGGAGCTGGGCTTTTATGGAGGCGGAGGGAGGAGATGAATGTTTCCCCTGCAGCTGCCTCGCTTCTGCTGTCTTGCCAGGGGGTGGGATGTGGGGTCCTGTCGCGGCACCTGGCCTGATCTAACTGGCCTCTCCTGTTCAGGCACATTGTGGTCTGCGGACACATCACTCTGGAGAGTGTTTCCAACTTCCTGAAGGACTTTCTGCATAAGGACCGGGATGACGTCAATGTGGAGATCGTTTTTCTTCACAAGTAAGAGCCTCCTACTGCTGTCAGACCCTCTGCCCAACCACACACCCTGTGAGGGACTCCCTGAATGTCTATACGAGTGGAGGTCTCGGGGAGATGGCACTGGGGATGGGACCAGAGTTGGATAAGCCATGATCCCTGCTGGCCTCATTGGAGAAGATATTGCAGAACCAATGGAAAGGGAAGCAACACACTGGTTCAATGATGAGAGCAGAGCCTGCCTCTCTGGAGGCACTTCTGGGACCACATCCGAGTTTATCTCTGGAAGAAATAATAGGGGAGCTCATTGTGGGTCCAAGTCATCCTCATTGTCCCCTTAATCTGGCGTGTCCACAGTATCGGCAGTGGGATGATGAGCTGTATGGTGTGGATACGTTAGGAGTGCAGAAGTGAGTTGGTGACCAAGTAAGACACCAACTTAAGAGGAAGCAGGACAGAAGGTAATAGGAATAACAACTGCTGCTCCTAGGAACCCCCAGCGTGGGACCCTAGCCAGTCACTGTACATACAGGCTCCCATTTACTCCACAGAGTAAAAATACATACTCTGGACTCAGATTCCCTGATCTGAATCCTGACTCAACCAACTACTGGCTGAGCAAGTTACTTAACCTCCCTGTGCCTCAGCTTCCTCATCCATAAATCATGGAGATGATAGTAGTTCCTACCTAGTTGGGCTGTGATGAGAATGAAATGAATTAATCCATATCAAATGTGCAGAGCAGAGTCAGGCATGCAGTAAGTCTTCAATAAGTGTTAGCTATCAGCCTGAAAAATAACATATATTTGGTTGTATAATCCACTTAGGAGGTAGGTCTTATCTTGTGTGTTTTACAGGGGAGGAAACCAAGGTAGGTCCCTTCTACCCAATGTTGAGGTTTTCAACTTTGCCTAATCCTCTTTTTAGGTAAAAGGTAGTCTGCCCCAGGAATGGAGAGAATTAGGGGGCTCCACTATGGTGACATATGTGGTACTGTAGTTGTCTTATGGAGATGGGGCTATCATGAGGCCAGTCCCGGTACCACATTGCAAAAGTTCAGGACAAAGCTAACATGTTTGTGTTGGCTCGACATGCTGGCTACCCAGCACTCGGTCCTACTCTGAGATTCCACTGAGGTCGGCTTCCCTACAAACTCCCTGCTTTGTGGATCGCCGTCCTCTGGCATTTGCTCACAGAATACTAGACTTCTGACTTGTCATCATGTTGGGGCACTAACATTTTTCTTTTCTGCACTGATTTTTCCAAACTTTGAAAAAACAGACCAGGGTATGTTAGCACAGGAGCAGGTACCCACAGTTTCCGTTCAGTGCTTAGCCACTGCTGTGTGGCCCATCCTCTGCTGAGCATTTTTGGAAAGTTCACTAGAGGTGTTGGGTGTAGGTTGTGCCCCCATATGGGCTAGGCATTTCAAGATGAACACACATGCAACCATTAGAGACAACATCGACCCTGTGTTATCCAAGGGATGCTGAAGTCATTTTGATCAGGTGGCAGACGTGACTGGGGACATCTCTTTCAAGGAGCATCAGTCTATGGTATTATCCGGACAGGCTTCTGAATAAGGTATGACTTGTCATAGGTCTGAAAGACTGGTCAGATTCGCATAGGCAGCCACTTTCTCTCATCCACTGCTTTAGTTTGAATAAACAAGCTGGTAAGGTGTGGTTGCTCATGCTTATAATCCCAGTACTTTGGGAGGCCAAGGTGGGCGGATCACTTGAGCTCAGGAGTTTGAGACCAGCTTGGGCAACACAGTGAGACTGCATCTGTACGAAAAATAGAAAGACTAGCCAGGCATAGTGGTACATGGCACGTGCCTGTAGCCCTTGCTACTCTGAAGGCTGTGGTGGGAGGATGGCTTGAGCCTGAGAGGCAGAGGTTGCCGTGAGTCAAGATTGCACCACTGCACCCTAGTCCCTGTCTCAAAAAAAGAAAAGCTGGCTGCTAATGCTTCCATTGCAAGATTCACCTTTGTATTCCTAACGTCTATCAATGTCTAGTAGATAGCCCAGTTAATTAACCTCTTGAAGCTCTGGGTTAATAACATACCTTCCTATAGGATTGTTTTGAGATTTAAATGAATACTCATCAAGGCCAGGCATGGTGGCTCTGCCTTATAATCCCAGCACTTTGGGAGGCCTAGGTGGGTGGATCACTTGAGGCCAGGAGTTCAAGACCAGCCTGGTCAAGGTGGTACAGCCCTGTCTCTACTAAAAATACAAAAATTAGCCAGGCATGGTGGCACATGCCTATAATCCCAGCTACTCTGGAGGATGAGGCACAAAAATTGCTTGAATCTGGGAAGTTGCAGTGAGCCAGGATCCTGCCACTGCACTCCAGTCTGTGTGACAGAGATAGACTCTAAGTAAAATAAAATAAAATAAATAAATAGTATTTATTTTACTTATTTATTTATTTATAATACTGTTTTACTATTATTTATTTAAAATGTTGTCTGCCATATAGTAAATGTTAGAAAACATTAACTATTATTATTATTATCATTATGGACTTCACAAATGTTAGGCAAGTGTTGTCTTAGCACAGTCCCTGGCATATAGTAGGTTCTAACTAAATATCATCTCCCAGTACCTCGCACAGTATCTTATGGACAGTCTTTTTCATCTCTGCAGAATTAACAAATGAATAAATAGGTCACTTGTTTAATCCTCGTCCTCCAAAGAGAAAGGTATCAGTACAGCCCAGCACCAAGAAGTGTGATGAGTCGCATACATGTGTGTGAATCAAGAACAATAATGAGAGTAAATTAAGTCTGTCTGTGGCTGCTCAGAGTGACATTTTTTGATCCAGACCTTGGGGGATGAGAAGTCCATGAGACACAGAAGCAGAGATAAGGTTCATGATGGAGGGAACAGCAGGATGGCTCTCCCAGGGGAACCTTCGGCTAATCCTTGATTGTATTAGTCAGGGCTCTCCAATGAAACAGAGTCAATAGGAAACATATATATCAATATATCTAATACAGATATACATAGGTATCTATATGTTGATGCATCTATCTATCTATCTATCTATCTATCTATCTATCTATCTATCTATCTATCTATCCGTCTATCTATCTATCTCTAGAGAGATTTATTAGGAAGAATTGGCTTATTTGATTACAGAGGCTGGGAAGTCCCACTGTCTGCCACCAGCAAGCTGGAGACCCAGGAAAGCTGGTGGTGTAATTCAGTTTGAGTCTGAAAGCCAGAGAGTCAAAGAGACAATGTCAACCCCAGTCCAAGGATAGGAGAATGACAAGAGATGCCCAGTTCAAGCTGTCAGGCAAGAAGCAAAAGGGACAAACACCTCTGTCCTCTGCTTTATTGTTCTCTTCAGACCCTCAAAGGACTGGATGATGCCCACTCCCACAAAGGAGGGCAATCTACTGAATTCACTGATTCAAATGCCATTCTCATCCAGAGACTCTCCCAGACACACCCGGAAATCACACTGGATCTGGGCACCCTGTGGCACAGTCCACATAGAATGAGCCATCCCACTAGTGGCGCGGCCCAGCTTCCCTATTTATAAGATAGGAATTCCATTCATACCGAAGATAAGACATTTGCCCTGAGGTCTTGGCCTTCCTAAAGCCCAAGAACCTCTTCCTTTTACCATGGTACTGGTTTGGTTTTCAGTTGGGCTGGGGTTTTACTTCTCTTAAGTGTGAGTCTTTTATTTATGGCAAGCAAAAGGGCAACTGTAGGTCACAGCCTCTCCCCTGGGCTCCCTGTGGAAATTAGAGAGGAAGGAGCCCATGGAGGCTGAAACCCCCAAGTCCATTAAATTAATAGTGATTTCTTCTCTCCCTGTGTAGCATCTCCCCCAACCTGGAGCTTGAAGCTCTGTTCAAACGACATTTTACTCAGGTGGAATTTTATCAGGGTTCAGTCCTCAATCCACATGATCTTGCAAGAGTCAAGGTAAGGAGGAATAGGTGACTTCTGCTTTTATTCCATTTGGTGGAGGGCTGGGGGAATTCCTGACTCTGTGGTGAGGGGACACACCTCCTACGTTGGCCATGAGTCATCTCCTAAACACCTAATGAGATCAATCACATACCAGCAACCTTGATATCACCCTTCCACTGGTCCCAGGACCTCCTTCTGGTGGCATATGCAAGACTACCTATAACCATCCCACACTTGGACTGGTCATAACATGAAACTTACTTTGCTGGTTTCCTCAAAATCGGCTACTCATCAAGGAAGTAGACCAGTTGTATGGACCCAGTAGTCTTTATTCAACATAATAATCGAGTAATTCCCATATTGAACACTTAAGTTGGACTCAATATAGCTCTGACATCTCTTATTTACATCTGAAAGAAACATTAGGCTAAAATATAAAATAAAATTTTACTAAGCTATAAAACATTTCAACTTTCTTTTTTCCCCATCTAAGACTCAGAGTGTAAAACTAAACATACAGTTATCTGATATCATTGATAATGGGCAAATCTTTTTTTCTGGAACCTGGTAACTTAGAACCTTCTCATAAAGCACACCTGAGGCTTAGAAGGGAAAGGTACGAGGCAAAATGGCATCTGCTACTTTACCTATGTAATATAGATTTTATAAGTATGTTCAATATTTGCATGCCAGGGGGTGTACATTAATATAATGAATTCACTGAAGTCTAAATGCTAACCGTGGTCACCGCATAATTCTGTAAATAATATAATTGGCCAAGATGAATAATCCAAAAGGATTTGGATAAATTCTTTCTTTGCATTATTAGAGAAATCAGAGACGATTTGTGACATACCACAGAGGATATTATGGCCTCCCTCAAAATCCAGGAATGATCTATTAAGTACAGCATACCAAGTAGGACAGATTGCAGACCTGAACTAGCATAAGAATTCTTATGCTTATAGAGTCCCGTTAATCTTAATATCATCCAGACATAACCCAAGTCATTGCTTATGTAAAATCTTATGAGAATGTAGGGACAATTATTATTGTTCGTAGACCTAATTTAAATGCAAGCAATCATTAGCACATCAAACTCATGGTCCCCTCTAAGGAATAAACCCCTGTGGGCTCATGTTTGGATAAGTCAGTAGGTGTATTTTGAATTCAACTGTAACACATCATTTCATACATAGATTTGTTGTCTTTTAAATATCTGAATACTAATTGAATACTAAGCAATATGGTGATGTTATCTGATTTAGAGCTCTGATCTCTTCCTAGCCTATAGAAAATGAAGATGTGAAAAAGGTCAGATGAAAGACTTCGGAGTGTACATTTCTGAATCCCCAATACTCAGTTAACTTGCTAACTGGAGAGAAGAGATTTAACCCACCCACCTCCAACTCCTGATAGGAAGAATTAGGATGATGGTGCAGATGGTTGAGAAAGAAGTTGGGGAGGAGACTGAAAGGCTTAATTAATTGTTATTTAAAGAAATGTGGAAATCCTACAAGTAAGCAACGATGCCAGATGAAAAGCATAATTACCAAGGTACATGTTGTACCCTCCAACAGCAACAAGATGAAATGTTTATACCATAACAAGAACTTGTAACCTACACTTTTGACAAAAACTATAATTTCTCAGGCTCTCAGGATTGGTTTTTTTTTTTTTTTCTTTGCAAAGCACCAGCTTCCCCAAGAGCTGTCAACAGAGAGAGACTACAGTTGAGCGTGGCTATTTATATGTTTGTGTTCTGTGATTTTTCCTTTCGGTGTCTTAGATAGAGTCAGCAGATGCCTGCCTGATCCTTGCCAACAAGTACTGCGCTGACCCGGATGCGGAGGATGCCTCGAACATCATGAGGTAACTCTTGGGGCGCTGGGGAAGGCCCTGGGCTTAGTCTGTGGCCGTTCATGGCCCTTTTGGGTCTTCTGCAGAGGACTATCTCTGTGAGGCCTTTTTGCCCCACAAGCCACCCTACAACTCACCACCTGCATAGGCCTGGGGGAACCAAGGCTGTCTGTGTGGGTTGGGGCAGTGGCACACAGGGTGTCACCAACAGGAAGCTCACCCTCAGCAAGTGGCAGCTCTGGGGCTTACAGCTGGCCTTGGGTTTGAGATTCCTTGAGACAGAACTAGAAAATAGATAGAGATGGGTGCTGGCCTGAATTAAAGTACCATGTTCGCTAAGGGAAATGGGCCTGAGATATCTTAACTAAAGGCAGATGCCCCCAGGGGACATTTTGCAATGTCTGGAGATGTTTGTGGTTGTCATAACTAAGGGACCGTGCTGCTGGCATCTGATAGGTAGAGCTCAGGGATGCAATGCACAGGCAGTCCCCACAACAGAGAATTGTCTGGCCCAGAATGTTAATGGTGTCGAGGCTGAGAAAACCCTTATGAGGGCTTTCCAAGTATGTCTACAGCATATTGATTCCTATCACCCCAGAGGGGAGTTTAGCGACCAGTTAGGCTGTTTCTTCCAGTTTCCCAAAATTAATGTTCTTTCTTGAAAGCCTTTTCAGTGCTTTTAATACTAATATGCATCTCTGAGATAACGTACTATAGAACACTTTCCAAACCTATTGGACTATAAGGCTCTGCTCCTTTCCCACCTCCCCCCACCCCTTTTTTTTTTTTTTTTTTTTGTAGCGACAGAGTCTCACACTATCACCCGGGCTGGAGTGCAGGGACACAATCAGAGCTCACTGTAACCTTGAACTCCTGAACCCAAAGGATCCTCTCACCTCAGCCTCCCAAGTAGCTGAGGCTATAGGAATGTGCCACCACACACGGCCAATTTTTAGATTTTTTTTTTTTTTTTTTAAGCAGGGACAGGGTCTTGCGATGTTGCCCAGGCTGATCTTGATCTCGATGTACTCCTAACCTCAAGTGATCCTCCCACCTGGGCATCCCAAAACTCTGGGATTACAGGAGTGTGCCACCGTGGCCCTGCCCTGCCCTCCTTTTTTTTTTTTTTTTTTTTTTTGCAGAACATCTTCTAGGGGAGGTCACACTGGGAAACACTGCCCAGTGCTTTTTCTGCACATGGGTTAGACCTGTCAACTGCTAATCTCGGCCCCAACTCCAATACCTTATTCTTTTCCTAATTCAGAAAAAAGCAATTGTTCAGTTTTTGTTCCTTGCATAAACCCAATAGTCACAAGGCATTTTGCTCCAGGTAGTTAGAGGCCCTTTGGAATTTGTCTTTTCTCTAGAATAAATTGCAGAAGAGTTAAGAGGGCTGAGAGGAAATGATAAAGGGAAGCTTCTGGAGAGATGAGCTAAATTCAGTGGGATTTCGGTCCCACTGCACTCCCAGGAACTTTTACCTAACTACGAACAGCCATCTTTTGGGCCAAAGGTGTCCCCTCTCCCTGCGGCTTGGTTTACTGCCTCCTGGGAACTTACCTGAGGTTGAAGGTCAGGAAGTTACCTTTATGTCCTGACAATGTTTGCATCCCCTTTGTCTTTGCTTTCCATCAGTGGCCCCAAGTGACAGGAGCTTCCCCCTCAGTGAGGTGGGGGAATTCCTCCAGTGCATCTCAGAGGAGCCAGTCCCCCCCTAAGCATCTGGTCCTTGTGTCTGGCAGGCAACATTTGGCACCATCTTCTCTTGCCACTCACTTTTCTTTGGCAATATGCTTAGTGAGGTCATTTTAAGGAAGTTGATGCGTGAACTCTTCTAAGCATTGGGCTTGCCAGGCTGCGGAGAGAGGGTGGAACAGATTCTGGCATCACACCTGGGCCCATTCCCAAATCAGTTACAGCTGCAGAGTGGCTACCCCAGAATCAGGCTTGGATGTGTCACTTGTTCCTTTCTTTAAAGTAAGAAGGATTTTCAACTTTTGACACCTTTTTCTGTCATTGGAAATGATTAAAAAAAAAAAAATGTAACCCTTTAAGGAACCTGGCTTCACTATGTTCAAAATTCCAAATGGAAAACCAAAAGAAGATGAAGCTTAACGTTTTGACTCCACAGAGATGTTTGGGGCTACCTGAGTAATAGCTTTGAAATGGGTGTTTCTCTTAATTGTAGTATTTTATTTAAACCCTAACTGTGGTAGGGTTAATATGAAGACACATGGGTACTAGGGTGACTGGCAGGATGAGGAGGCATAGAAATTACTGGTCAAGGGCCGGGCACAGTGGCTCACGCCTGTAATCCCAGCACTTTGAGAGGCCAAGATGGGCAGATCACAAGGTCAGGAGTTCAAGATCAGCCTAACCAACACGGTGAAACCCCTTATCTACTAAAAATACAAAATTTAGCTGGGTGTGGTAGCGTGTGCCTGTAATCTCAGTTACTCAGGAGGTTGAGGCAGGGGAGTCGCTTGAACCTGGGAGGCGGAGGTTGCAGTGAGCTGAGATTGTGCCATTGCACTACAGCCTGGGCAACAGAGCAAGTGAGGCTCCGTCTCAAAAAAAAAAAAAAAAGAAAGAAAAAACAGAAATTACTGGTCAAAGGTAGTATCAGAAACATAATTAAGTAGAGCCAGAACTGAGGCCCTGGCAGCAAAAAGAAGTGGGAAGTTCAGGGTTAAAAATGGGCTTTGTCTTTCTCTTATTTGTATAATCTTCCTTCCTCCTCAGTTTAATGAGACCAATCTGCCTCCTTTGAAATTAAAATGTCAAAGATCCATTTGAAATGAGCTAATGCAGAAAACTGGCTGAAGCTGTGAACTGCAAGGCAGGGCTGACAGAGGCTCAGAGTCCTTGAGTTATAAGCATGGGCCAACACAACACTTTTTCAAAAATAAAATGAAATCCTTCAAGTGCAAAAACCCAGGGTGAATTTGTGCTGGGAGAGGCTTTAGCGTGATCCATTTCCTAAATTCATAAGTTGCAGCTTTTCAGCTAAAGCTGCTCCCTGGCTGCCTTCTATCCATTTCTGCACTAAAGGGGGTGAAGTGGGGAGCACTGCTGGGTGGGAATTTTGTGGGGGCGTCATAATAAATGCACTTGCATTTCTGATTAGGCTTAGGAGGTGGGCCTTTCTGTGGAATTCCATTCTTTAGCCTTCCTTGTCACAGAAGGAAATGTACAATGTCACTTCTGACAGACTCGGTAATGACAAAAACCATAACTTACACGTGGAGAGAACTTTTAATGATTTCAAAGCATTTTCACATCTGGTCTCCCATTTGCTGCTCATACCAAGCCTGTGAAGTAAATAAAGCAGGTACTGTTGCTCCCAGTGTCCAGATGAGGAAACAGGAACAGAGAGCCCAGGGTTTTCCTAAAAGTCGCGCAGTTCATTAGTACAATAGCTGTGACTGGAACCCAGGTGTTTCCATTCATCTGCCCTCTGCCACTCCCTTTAGCACCATGATTGATGTGGGGAGGACATGTGAGGGCTGGGGTGGCTGCAGGCCATGCTTAACATTGAGTTTGGACTGCGGGCAGGTAGGAGACAATTTTCCACCAGCTCATGACCCCCACAACGCCTTGGCACTTATTTTTAACCAGCGTTTAAGTCATCATTTTCTCTATTAGCTATGGAAGGCTGAGTCCTTGATCTCATCCTAAGAGCCCTGCTTAGAAATCATTTTTTGTGACAGTGGCCAAGTGTGTGTCACAATTAGAACCATTTGTCATCCTGCTTGTTTGATTTGTCATTGTTGTCTCGAGTTGTTAACTTGGAGAATTGGACTCAGCAGATTATTCTGGGCTAGTCCCTAGGGTGTGGGAGATTGCAAACCTCTGAGGCCCCATGATTTGGGCTTGCTTTCGATGTCTGCATAGGCAATAAGCTGGCATCCCCTGCTCCAGGCCCCCCAGTCCCCAGCACACACGTGCATACATCCCATCCCCAATGTATTCCAGGGGGCCGTCAAATTTTTCATGCCCTGGACACAGACTGCAGTTGTTTTGTGATTTTGTTTTCATGCTAGCAAGAGGTATGGTGGTGGGAACACTGTTTCACCTGGCTCAGTGTCTGCAACCCCTCAGGATAGCCCTGGCTGCTGGTCCTGATGCAGGATAGTTGAGCCCCAAATTGGGGCTTAGCCCATGAAGGTTTTTAGCTTCCCCCATGAAAGAATTCAAAGGCAAGCTGGTGGTAGGGCAGAAGGAAATAGCTTTATTAAAGCAGCAGTATTACAGCTCCGTGACTGCTCCTGCAGAGGGGGCTACACGATAGAGTAGCAGCTCTGGGCAGTTCTGCTGTCATATATATATATATCTACTTTTAATTGCATGCAGATTAAGGGGCAGCTTATGCAAAAATTTCTAGGGAAGGGGTAGTAACTTCTGGGTCATTCGGTCATTGCCATGAAAGGCAAGTCCCATGAGCCCAGTGCAGATAGAAGCAAGTTCTTTGAGCTGTCTTTCTCTGTCCACCCTGACACTTAGGCAGTCGTATTAAAGGGTTTCCTCTTTCACGGCCTTCTTTGTTCCTCATGGTGGCTTCCCAAAATTGTATGTAGTGAGAGATGGAACTGGGACTGGAATTCATCCATGCATTGCAACTTGTTTTCAGGAAAGGACCTGGTATATGCCTGTAAAGTTATATCACTATGAACATATTCCAAGAGATAGTTGATTTCATAATTGGACAACGGGCTTGAAATATGAAGCATTTCAATCCCCTATGATCTAGTAGTAGTAATGTTCTAAGGCCTAGAGGATATAGGGAAGCTCCTGGGTGTTGCCATGGCAATGGTAAACTGACAGGGCACACTGCTGGGCATGTCCAGTGGAAAGTTGCTTCTGCCCCATCCCTGTTTCAGCTAGTCCTCAATTTTGTCTGGTATCTGAGCCCTGCCTCTGGAATCAAGTCCTGCCTCCTACCTCAGTCCCATGGGTACCCCATTTGGAGATAATAAAATTGATGTTTTGGTCAGACACCATGCATAAGGCAGACCTGTCTCAGCGTTGGTTCTTTCTTTTTCAGAGTAATCTCCATAAAGAACTACCATCCGAAGATAAGAATCATCACTCAAATGCTGCAGTATCACAACAAGGTAGGAGTACAAGAGCCCGGTCCAGGCCTGAAGACACATCCACAGGTCCAGCCTCTTATTCCTCATTATACAGCCTCACACACACACACACACACACACACTCACATGCTCACATGTGCACAACTCAAAGACCTGGGTAAAGAGGTGTGATTGTTAAAAATCTTCCTGGGACATTTCTTTCCCTCCCTCCCTCCCTCCCTTCTCTCTTTCTTTCTTTCTCTCTTTCTCTCTTTCTCTCTCTTTCTTTCTTTCTTTCGATGGAGTCTCACTCTTGTTGCCCAGGCTGGAGTGCAATGGCATGATCTCGGCTCACCACAACCTTCACCTCCCAGGTTCAAGTGATTCTCCTGCCTCTGCCTCCCATATAGCTGGGATTACAGGCATGCACCGCCATGCCCGGCTAATTTTGTACTTTTAGTAGAGATGGAGTGTCTCCATGTTGGTCAGGATGGTCTCGAACTCCCGACCTCAGGTGATCTGCCCGCCTCGGTCTCCCAAACTGCTGGGATTACAGGCATGAGCCACTGTGCCCGGCCCATTTCTTTAGTCTAAACAACGTGTTTGCATTTGGTCACTGGAAGGATGCTCCTTCACGTACTGATTCATTCATTCGGGAAGTGTCTATTGGAACCCGAGTTTCAGAACTATTGATGTACTCTTAGATCCCATCCATACTTAAGTTGCAACAACTTTCATTTGTATGTGATGCAGTCATTTATTTATTCAGTAAATATTTACTGAACACCTACTGTGTGATTAGCACTCTCCCTGATACCAGCAGGAATATCAGTGAAGGAGAAGCCCTATTTTGTGTCCTTGGGGATTTAGCAGTCAAGGTGTAGAATGCTCCAGGCAAGTGAGCGATAGGATTTCTCTGTCTGAGACCAGGTGAACTAGTGAGTGCGTAATGTGCTCTGTAAGAGTATAATGTGGAACACATTTCCAGAGTCCAGATGAGAATTTGCAGAGTTGAATCAGAAAAATAGGAAGCTATCCAGAGATTAAACAGAAAGGAATTTTCTTTGTGTTATAGCTGACAATGGGGGATTGATTAGAAAGAAAACAAACGTCAGAGTCTATGCTGTTTCCCTGTGATTACTTCTCAGTAAACCAGAGTCCAGTGTCTCATTCAAAGGCAGTGCTCCTTCTCTCGTCCAGTCAGTGAACTTCCAAAAAAACAGCTTTAGGGGAGGGAAGGTGGCACCTTTCTCCATTTGATGCGGTACCAGTTGTGTCCTTAATGAAGCCTAGAAACCAGAGGCTGCACAGTACCTGGAGCCAGGTGTCCTGTCTGCACAGAATAACTCCCTGCTGGGTTATGAGTGACAGCGTACCCCCTCTTATGGGCCATATTCTCTACAAAATAGGCAGTCAGGTGATTCAGAGAAAACCCCATTCTGCCAAATGCACCAGCGCCATGCCGTTATTTCTTAATTGCTGGCAAATGCTGGCCCATTTTGCTGTGTGGAGGCCCATCAGAGGCTGTCACTGAGTGGAGCCTGCTGTCGGTGACTGGCCCACCACCCAGAACGGCTGACTGCTGCCAGCCACTGCCCAGCCCTCGGCAGGTGGCTGCCTTGCAGAAGGTGTTGTTCTCCAGCCAGCAGATTTGGTGGTGGGCACCCAAGGTCACATTTGCCTATTCGTCTCTGCAAAACAGTGTCCCAAGGACACTGAAGAGATAAAGTGAGGATATTGGTAACGCACGGGCATCAAGCTGGAAAAGTTTTTGATGGAAGCCCCTGTAGGTGGAGGTGAATTTTATTAGCAAGGCTGTGACTGGTGACAGCTCCTGCAGCAACGAGCTCTCCTTTCATTTGTGATCTGAAATTTCATTTAGTGTGGGAGTGCTTTAAGCTGTTGTTTAGATTTTTGACTGAATTTAGATTGAATAGGAAAATTAATGTTGTATGTTTAGAAGGGGTTGTCAGTTCCTTTTTTTCTCTTTCCAATGAGTGCTGATGCAGCATCTTCAAGAAATTAAGGAGGATTTTAGCTCTGTGGTTCTTGTCCAACTCAAAGTAGCTCAACTGGCCTAGGATCCAGACAGTCCCTGGTCAGTAATCACATGATCATAGCAACCTGAATGTCTTTGGCAAACCTCTGTGTTGTGATTATTCAGAAACAATGAGGAAGATATCAACCAATTCATGATTATTTGCTTAAAACACATTTTGTTTATTACCATCCCAAATTATTTGAGTTTTGGGGTTGGGCAGAATCACTTACAGATCCTTGGATGATTAATAAGGACACAAGGAATAGAGTGACTTTGACACAGGACATTTTGTTGTTGTTTTTCTTTCATACCTCTCTTCTAGAGAAAGAACAAAACGTCCACTCATCATTTTTTGTCTTTCGTTCCTTGAAGAATTGCAAATGGACATTCTTTACCCTGCTTCACAGTTTTGCTCTGTTTCCTGAGATGCTTCCTACTCTTTCAATACATTTTCTTCCTCTTCCCTTTCAGCATTTTTTTTTCTGCCTTTCTTGGCACTTTTTGCTGCACTCATCCTAGATGCTTAGAGATCTCCATGCATTACAACTTGCTTTCAGGAAAGGACCTGGTATGTGCCTGTAAAGTTATGTCACTATGAACATATTCCAAGAGATAGCTGATTTCAGAATTGGACAGTCTTGATATATGAAGCATTTCAATCCCCTATGATCTAGTAATAGTAATGTTCTAGGGCCTACAGGGATGTAGGGAAGCTGCCTACTTTCTCTTCATGTAAAAATGGCCCTGAGTTTGTCATCATCATAATTGTAGACATTTGGGTCATATTTTATGGTTTTAAAAGAGCTTTGACATCCATTATCTTCTTTAGTACTCATTGGACCATCTGTGCATTTTAGCATCCCAGGGTAACTTCAGAGCAGGGCATCTAAGCTCTGTGCAGACAGCGTAACTCTCCTGGGCACAAATCATGGCCACCATTCTGCAGCCAGTGAGTGGAGAGACAGAACAGCTTACTGCCACCAACTCTTTAAATGGAGCCACAGCCCGTTGAGCCAAACTGTGGTTCCTGAGAGTAGGCATTACAGAAGGGCTGATGCTCTCCAAACTGTATCTTTTAATATCACTAGAATTCTTGGAGAGAAACGCTTTCATGCTGGCCATCTTTTTCATGCTGGCCCGGCATCTTCTGATTTGAGTGTAAATGGCTCAAAGCTCTTCAAGGAAAGATTGGTTTATAACTTCTTGGAAAAGTGTCACTCCTGATGACTTACCTGTCATTGGATTTTTTATTTTTCTGAAAGACTTTAGTGAAAGAGGCCTGTATCTCTGGAAACCAAGTCCCATGAGCCCAGTACAGATAGAGGCAAGTTCTTTGAGCTTTCTTTCTCACTGTCCACCTGACACTTGGGCAATCATATTAAATCGTTTCCTCTTTCATGGACTTCTTTCTTCCTCATGGTGGCTTTCCCAAATTGTATGTAGTGAGAGATGGAACTGGGACTGAAATTAATCTCTCCTGGTTGTCCAGGACAGCCTGTTTCCAGTTCCTTCTCCATGGAATGAAGGAGGGGTGGTGAAGTAGCAGAAATGAAGAGCAGCCAGATCTGCCAGATCTGCTCTTTATATTATCCAAGTTAGGGAGAGAGGATTTGCCTCCAGACTTCTGGGCACTAACACTGGCATTTTTCATCAGACTCAAATTACTTTAAATGGAAAAGGACGAAGTTTCCAGAAACAAAGGATTTATGTTCCTGGGTCAGTCTCCTCTCTTTGTTTCATGCACAGAGATTTCCCTCCAAGCGTTCAGCAGGTCACCCTCACTCCTTCCCTGCATTGGAGAAAATATAATGCCCAAAAAAAGAGGGCAAAGAACCCTGATATAAGGAACGAACTCAACTTTTCTATGTAATCACATGGCCAAGTGTCAAGGTGGACAGTGAGAAAGAAAGCTCAAAATATGCCTACAGAGTTCAAACCAGACAGCGCCATGGGGGACCCAAGGATGAAATGCCTGAGCCTCATACCCTAGGTAGCACATGCGGATAGGAGAGACTTTCTTTGAAAGGTTTGGCTTGTTTGTTTGAAGTTGCCATGAAGGTTCGGAGGTGTCTCTTTAGGGCTTCGACCAAAAAAATCTCCTTTCACACACAATGCTTGACTTGTTCATTACTTAAACTTAATTTCTCCTCATTCTTCTCAGGTTCTCAGATGATGTTACTGCAAATCAGTATTTCTCAAGTTATACCAATGTGTTCTCTACAATGCCCAGGAAGTAAAAGGGAAAGTGGCCATCTGAAGCCAGTGGAGAGTAGAGAAAGGAAGGGATAAAGGGTAGGGCTAGTTGTTGGAATTGAGTCTGCAGTGTGGGGAAGGTCCTTTGATAGCTTGATAGCTTGACAGCAATTACCATTTGCTGTGTCCCCTCTATGAGACTATTTTAGCCATTCTCTCATCAGGGAGGGCACAGTCATCTCTCCCTGGAATAACCACTTTTGGCTTAGGATGCACAAGATTGTCACAGAAGTGGATTTTGCAAGAAGGAATTTCACAAGAGTGGCATTTTTGAAAGCAGAGTGTGGAACCCTTGGACTTACTCTTTGTTTCCACAATGAAATCTTCCATCTTTCTAGTTCAACTATTGTATATTGTTCTGAAAGTGAAGGGAAGACTCCCTTGGTGCTCCTTGTGTTTGCTGAGATGTGCAGAGAAATAACAACTCCAAAGCCATAGAATCTTGGCATTAGCAGAGACTTAGAAGGGCTGTCTGATTCAACCTCCTAGTGCAGAGCAAACGTTCTTTCCATAGTAACTTGGAGAAATACTTACTGAGTCTTAGGGACAAAGACCTTTCATTTTTTAAGGTAACCTTCTTCGTTTGGTAGACAAATTACATTCTTAGGAAGTTCATTTATAAAACAAGACAAAAATCTGCTTTCTTGGAATATATACCAGTCAGTCTTAATTCTGGCTTCTAGAACAAAGCAGTACAAACCTAATCTTGGACACAGCAGCACCTGAAGTATTCAGATGTAATTATCCTGTCTCTGTGAGGACGAGAGCCTTCTTCAGGCCAAATATTACTGGCTCTCTTAACTGTTCCTCAAAAGATCTTTTCCAGACACTACCTCCTCTTGTCTTTGTCACTTTTCTCTGGAAGTTATTCAGTTGATCATTTTCCCTCTTTAAATCTGACTGAAAACTGGATCAAGTACTCTGGAACTAGTATGACCAGTTCGCAGCAGAATGAAATGTTCATTTCCCTTGATCTGGAGAGCATTTCTGACAAGTAGATGCTGGTTTTCTCTGTAATGTCACATGGCTGGCCTAAAATTTGAGGTTTTAGTTACCCACACACTTACATTTAGCTTTGTGTGTTTTGTTTTCTTTTATTTCTCTCCTGCCTGCTGCCAAGCTAGGTCTTCTCATTTTATATAGTTGATTTTTTTTAACCTAAATGCTGTACTGGACATGAAAGCCTTGTAAATCTTTTTAATTTGGTCTTTTGCCGATTTTTCCAACTCTGGAGAACCTTACTTTGATTCTTTCATCCAATGTCTATGACTCTCTGCTTCATGCCACTTAAAAATAATTGGATGAGCATGCCGCTGGGTCCTTGTCTCAGGGCCTGACATAAGGGTTGAATAGGACCAGTCTATTTGCAAAAGATTGGAAACATCAACATTGTGATTCACCTGATGTTTTAGGCCAGTGGTTCTCAAAGTGTGGCCCCTAGATCAACAGCATCAGCGCCACCTCCAACTTGTGAGAAATGCCAAATTCTCCAGCCTTACCCTAGATCTACTGAATCAGAAATGCCGGCGGTGGGAGCGGGGGTCAACAATCTGTGTTTTCACAAACTGTGCAGGTGATTCTGATGCCCGCTCCTGATGCCTGGGAGTCACCGATCTGGAGTATTGGAAAGGCAGGTAAAAAAGAAACTGAAAATATACAGGCATTTGGCACTCTTACAGTCTATTTGAGGACTCAACCTAACCATTTAGCTAGACATCTTAGTAACCCCAGCTGATGTGTCTGTCACAAGAGGAAATTCCCTCTGGGCTCTATTTGGCTAAATGGCCAACCCAGGGGAGGACTTGGGCTTGGTACGTGCAGAAGCAACGGTCCAGAGAGACTGAAGTGTGATGAGCAGAAGAGTTGCGTAAAACAGCAAACATCAGACCCCAGCAAGGGAAAAGAAGGGCAAGACTGAATGGCCCTGAGTGGTCGGGCAATGCTGCATTTCCCAGAAGAAATGTTGAACAATCGAACATTTAACAGAGCGAGGTCTCATACCTGCTTTTCTTTCCCCAGGCCCATCTGCTAAACATCCCGAGCTGGAATTGGAAAGAAGGTGATGACGCAATCTGCCTCGCAGAGCTGAAGTTGGGCTTCATAGCCCAGAGCTGCCTGGCTCAAGGCCTCTCCACCATGCTTGCCAACCTCTTCTCCATGAGGTCATTCATAAAGGTAACGTCTCGTCTTATTAGAGCACATTAGCTCAGGATTCCATTTGTCGTGGGGTTGAGTAGAGAGCACAGCTTAAACTCAAAACAGATCGACGGGCTCTAACCACTTGGGTTAAGGAGAAATTCCTTGTTATGGATTTGGGCATGAAGCCAACTTCTTTCAAAATTATGTTTTTATTTTTATTTGGCACATCCATGGCCATTAAATGATTGTTCAAAGCACAATCCCCTCTTTTTTTAGATAAACCACATGTTTATCTATCAACAAAGCCTCCGCTGTTAAAACAAAAATATGATTTATATACATTCCATATGGCAAAAGAGCGCCTAAAGAAAAGCATTATCATTTTGCTCTTTTATATCAAGTGGCTGGTGGACCTCTCACTGTGTGGATAAATGCAGACCATGTGTTTGTGCTGAAGCCCAAACCCCAACAACATAATTCATTTATTTATTTCTGCACAATCAAGGAGGCCAGCAGGACTGACATGCCGCGGTTGTTTGAATGGAGAGCGAAACAATGTACTGAGTCCTCGGCAGCAGTGCCCTTTGCATGGAGAGAGAGGCAGTCTGGATGTGTTCATGTCCTTGTCGGGGCTGGCTGGGCAGCCACTCCAAAGTCCCCAAGGTGGCCATACCTGCTGCACCAGTGTAGGCAAAGAGAAAAAAAACCAACTCTGTCCTCCCAGGGTGGGCCAGGTTAGGATTGTGATTTCAGGGCCTTGCACTGAGCATCCAGCCCCTACCAAAGAGGCTTCTGGAGCCTCTTTGGATGAGGATTGGAGGACAGTCACTCCAGTCCTCATCCTTAGACTGTTCTTAGATTAGGCAGTCAAGGTGACAAACCAGGGTGTAAGACAGGTCTAGCTTGGGCCTTTCTGATACGGCATGGGAGGCAGTTAGCTATGGATCTGGGCTAATATCCTTCCTCTTATTATGTAAGGAGCAGAATTAATAGCTGGCAAGGTGGAAAATTACATCCTTAGGAAGTCCATGAGTCAGCACGAGGTCCATAAAGGAGGCCAGAAGCTCTGCAATCAAAGGTGTGAGACCTCCTGCCTTTTGCTGTCATGTGGATGCCTAATCCACTGCCATGTTCCTTGATGGTGTTGAGGAAATGGCCTAGGTTGCAATAAGAGGGATGTGTGGGAAGCATGAGGACACAGATATGTTAGTGCTCATCACGGGCACCTGTGAGTGATAGTATTTAGAGCAGGAGTTTTTCTAGGTCCTTACCTGCCAAATCGGCTTTATGTAGCCAACTGATAGTTAGCATTGCTCTACATAAAAGAACGAATTGCTTTGGAGCTCCTTCAATCACTTTAGCAACACTAATAGCAAGGGATACCTTGATTTAAAAAATCCTTCTATGCTCATTATGCAGCCAAAGGTCTCAACTCAACAGAACTCCGAGCTCAGATCCAGCTTACAAATAAAGACATTGCATTCCTTTAAGTGTCTTCTTTAATCCAGGCTGCTCTTGTCCTGCATGGGTGAAACTGAATGGAGGTGGCAGGGAGGTCTGTATAGCTGTGTTTAGAGACAAGACCCTGAAGCCAGATGTAGCCATGTGTCTCCCAGGGATCTTATGTTCAACGTGAGAAGCCCAGACTCAGGATAGAGGACTGTCACCAAGAGAACTTCTCTGGCTCTTTCAATCAAACTCTGGTGGTTTTCTTCCAGGGCATGGCCCATGGGACCAAGCACGTGGTGTGTGGAGCTGTGCTCTGCTTCCTCGTGTTGATGTAACATGGGCCTTGGCAGGGCCCCACCACAGATGGGGCCCCTTGACATGTGTATGTTTTGATTTTGTGGTGCCTGCATGGTAACTAGAGCTGTCTGTCAAGGAAATTAATAAAATGGATGTGATGCTGATTCTTCAGTGCTATTAGCAGCAGGGAAAACCTCTGCCCAACTTTCCTCTGGACCCTGATGGGCCTCACCTCTAAAGCCAAGGACGTCCCCTCCAGCTCAGCTAATCCCATTGCCAAGTTCCTATTTAGGAAGAGCTTGTGGGAAAGGTTGAGCCTGGCCCTGGTGTAACTGAAAACACATTTTCTTCCAGGGGTTATGTTACCACATTATTTCTGCATAGGACCAACTCCTGCCTGTTTGGAAGTAGCTCTCTGAATATGGCCTTTTGACACTGAGATGGTCTTTTTGTTAGAATTTGCTAAGGTACATGACCTGGAAATCACAAGACTTCCCTTCATCTATTTTTCTCACTTAAAATAGAAACGCCTTATTCACGTGCTCCCCATTCTACATTGCTATCTTTGTGTACTTACCTCCAAATCCCAGATCTTTGTCTCCTTTAGGTCATGGTGAACACCATAATGGTACTCTCCTTGGCATGTCTTATGTATTGTCTCCCATTCCAGGGATCACAAAGCCTTCACTTATTTTTGTTGGGATGGAAAAGTAAATCTACAAATGGATTATTGTTTACAGAAATTGCTTCCTTCTCCAATGACCTCCGTATCCTATGACGGAGAATTCGTCAATATTTCCATGGGGACAAGCAGGCCTATTAGGATGGACAGGGAAGGGATGAGGCTTTGGCAGCACTTGATCCTTTGGGAACACTTAGCATTTCCGGAAGCCAAAGGTAAAGTGTTAGCTCACCCTCTCCCTTGCCCTAGGCCAGTTGTGTCTATTTTTTGGTGCTGCAGAACCCCTGCTAAAAAAAGAGAAACAAGACTATAACAGCAAAGATGCAGCACAGGCAGAAGCACAATGACTATCCACTGGGCTTTTTAATTTAATATTTTTTTTTGTAGAGAGAGGTGTCCCTATGTAGTCCAGGTTGGTCTCAAACTCCTGGGTTCAAAAAATCCCCTGCCTCAGCTTCCCAAAGTGCTGGGATTATATAGGCATGAGCCACTTCCACTGGGTTTTTTATCATGCATGAGACCAAAATGCCAAGACTGAAAGTGGGGGTGATACGTTTAATAAAAGGAAGAGGGACTACTGGCCAGGCATGTTGGCTCACACCTGTAATCTCAGCACTTTGGGAGGCTGAGGCAGGTGGATCACCTAAGGTCAGGAGTTCAAGACCAGCCTGGCCAACATGGTGAAACCCCTTCTTTGCTAAAAATACAAAAATTAGCTGGGCATGGTTGTGCATGCCTGTAGTCCCAGCTACTCAGGAGGCTGAAGCAGGGAAATCACTTGAACCGAGAAGGTGGAGGTTGCAGTGAACCGAGATTGTGCCACTGCACTCCAGCCTGGGCGACAGAGCAAGAAGACTCCATCTCAAAACAAACAAACAAACAAACAAACAAAAAAGAAAAAAAGAAAAAGAAAGAGGGACTACTGGTATACAAGAATTACAAAAGAGGCCCAGCCTGGAGGTACCAAGAAATATGGGGCAATGCTTCTTTATCTCCCCATCAATGTCACACTCAAAGATACCTACCCTAGCACCCCAAGTCATTGTCCCTGAAAACCTCACTCCTGTGCGGATATATCTCTGAATTGATCTAAAGTTTTTAGGAATCTTTTTATATTTTTACCCTATATCTTTGGGAGTAATGAATTTCTTAAGTTTGCTAACTACTGTTAACATTTTTTTTTCTGGCTCTTTGTCCTTAATTTACTCCACTTAAACTTCAAGGCATGCCCTCTACAGCTTCTGGTGTGCTAGGATTTAACAAATCTATGCCGATTTTATATCTAATACATTTAGGAAAGAGATTCAAGCTGGCAATCCAGGGGTCCTCCAGCTCAGCAGCTGCTGTTAAGGACAGGTTAAGCATTTTGTGCAGTAGGATCTTGTTTGAACCCCTGAGTTCCTTTAAGGAGTTCTCACGAACGTCCTGATGCCTGTGAATTATCTGCATTGACATTATCAGCCAGCCCTGGAACATCCTGTTCATTTGCCACTGTCTGATCTCTTACTCCTAGCCTGTCAGGAATCTCCCTGCTGTCTTCTGTAAAGACCCAGGCAATGAACTTACTTAACCTATCTGCCTCAGCACTGAATAAGTGGCCACACTTACTCTCTACTTGGGTTCCTCACTTGGATGTAATTTAAGATCCACTGATTTTTTGTTTGTTTGTTTTTGTTTTTGAGTCTTACTATGCATACTGAGCTTCTCTTCAGCATATGAGGTTTCAAGTTGGGGCTTGGCCTGCCATCTTTATGAATTGTGCTATTATTCTTACTAGGATTAGCTGTCTTTGCACATGACAAATTGTGCGTCTGTATGTGTGTGAGTGTGTGTGTGTTTAGAGGGTGATTAACTCTTAAAATTGTTTTTCCATCTACATTGAGACTTCCAATTTAGCACATTTAAATTATTCTCACAATTGCCAACTATTTTAACTCTGTTAATCTATCATTTTATACACACACACACACACAAAACCTAGAGCACGGTATGCTCTCCATGATTATTTCTTTGTTGAATAAATCAGTTTTGAGAATGAAGAAAATATGTTATGTATTTCTTGTGTTTTTTTTTTTTTCCCCCTACGCCACAAGATTTGGAATTTGCGGGTGAAATGTTACTTAATATCGATAACAACACATGCTCCTCTATCATGTTTTCTGTTTTTGAATGAGAAAGCACTAGAGAAATCAGACGCATGCTATTCAGATTGTATCTTGGCTGAAGTGGATATGGCTGGACACACAAAGTTTTTGTCCTAGCACTAACCATAGCCAAGGGAATCATTTAAATATTTTTAGTCTGGGTTATGTTTATGTGTATATGTGTGCTTGTACATATGTATGTATAGAATTAGTCTGGTTTAGGAGCTAAAAATATAAATCAAGGACTTTTAATAATAGCTAAAAAATACTGATTCCCATGTGCTAAATCCCGTATTAAGTGCTTTAGCTGCAATGTCACATTTAATTCTCACAATGACCCTACCCAAACTTGTCACTATTATTATCCTTCTTTTACAGTGGCAGGCACTATAGGTTAAAAGAAGTTCAACAACCTGCACGAGGACGTATAGTTTGGAATTGACAAACTCAGGTGTTCAACCCCA